AAAGACTAATGACAAAGAAGCCATCCCACTAAAATCAGTCTTCTTGCTTCTACAATTACCACGACACCACGAAGCACACTGAACCAAATCAACTCTTCACTTTTGCAAACACTTTGACAAGGGTCAGTCTATGAAACACCTGCAAGTGTTGTCCCAACACTGAGCACACGAACAATTTGAGGGAAAATGCTCCAACGAACAAGTTCGCAAACCGCAGTTGGCCTTGTATGGTCCTTGTGACCCAAAAACAAGTGGGATGGCACCTGCGCCTGAAGTTGCTCGATCACAAGAAAGCGAGCCTCTCCAAGAGCTATTTAGGACAAGCACTTGAACAGGACTAGTAGCTTCTTGTTACTACTAGTAAGGCACTTGTTACTAGTAGCGATGTACTTGTTACTAGTAGCGAACATTGTTACTACTACTAGACACATCAGCAAGAAGCATTGAACACCACGTCAAGTGGCCGTCTTCGGTGGCGTGTACTCTATCTGTTCTTCGACAGGCTCGACTGGCTCCTGGGCTGCGTTTGACACAAACATAGAAACCAGCTGGTGAATGCTGGTGATGAAGGCTCCAACTGATCTAGAACTGAAGAGACAAGTCATGAGAAGTCCAACCCATCACAGCTTACACAAAACACCTGCGATGCTGCACTGGCGGCCCTCTTCACTCATTAGATAAAAGGGAAACTCAATGAATCATAATGAATCTCCCCATTCACAAATGTTAAGTATATAAATCTATACATATTCACTATAGACTATAGAGATGACCCTTTGATTGCAACTGCTCCTCTCTGGTTCACGTCCAACGATCTTGTTCGCACACGAGAATGTCCTCCCCTTCCGCTTGAACCCCAGACTCTCCCTTCAAATTGATTGCTGATCGGTGATGAGCTGCTGATCTTCCATGTAATCACCCCATGTTGCAACACATGTGGAATGACAAGTGGCAGTCTCTGGTGGCGTGTATGGCGCAGGTTCTTGAACTGGCGTCTGGACCTGACATCTGCAGTTGAGCTGGATTCACCATCCGTATACTTTCCCTGAAATGGCTTGCAGAACAAAGCACCAGATTCCAGCAAGGATTGTATATGGATTGTATATATTAGTAAATGTATTTAAACAATAGATGCAATCATTTCTGCAAGTTGTTATATGTTGTTGTCACTGTCCTAGTTCTTTTCCCGGACTGCAAGTCAGTTCGATGACAGAACTGCTTGAGCGACCAGGAGAAAGCGGAGTTTATAGGATTCCAGGTCTCACATGTCCAGTTTCAATCCCTGCTTCCTCCGCATCATTGCCTCTTTGATCCAAAGTCAGTTGACAATCTTCCTCTTTCCAACACAATGCCCTAGAAAAAACATTGCTTCTGGGATTACACATTGAAGAAAGCAGTCAGAAAGGCCGCAAACGACATGTTAATGTTACTCCCCAAATTACATAATCTACCAAAGTAAGTCGAACATGGTTGATGATCGAATATTGTATCTCAAGTCCTACTAAGCCTTTCTCTGAAATGATTGAACACTGGGAACGACCGATTTTTCGAGAAAGAAGAAAGCTTCGCCAAATGCTGCAAATAGTGGGTTTCATTTCCCTCTCAGCCTCTCCAATGGTTCACAACTTCTTCCTTTAACAGGGCCAAGTGAACATGTTAACCAAGAGTGCCTTCAAAGAATGTTAATTGACCCACAAGTTCTGGCAAGCGTTCGAAAAGGGGATTAGATTAGTAGGGTTGTGAACTGTTCAGGCATGTGCCTCCCTCATTCAAGTTGGTTGCCATTATTAATTTATGGAATTGTATTAGTTTAATGATGTGACAAATCAATTTGAGTCAGGAACTAAATCAGAAAAAGGGATGCAAACCAAGAGTGCAACAAGATGAGTTAAAAGGTGGGAGAAACAAACCGAAGCGAACAGTTTGGTCGGGGATATTGAAGACAGTAATTGGTGCCATCGACACCAGGAGCGGCTAAATGAGCCTCAAACAAATGGATCTAGCCTTGGCAAAACAAGAAGGTCACAAGAGAGTTACAAATACAATTTCAGGATATTTCAGGAAACGATCCGTCTGCATTTCGTCCATCAATAACCAATAACGCATTCATGATACATATCTCCCCATCTCCATCAATCTGCATCAAGCGGCAGAGGTGTAAGTCGGAGCCACGTTCAGCGGCACAGGCGCCGTGCTCGGCAAAGTGCCCGCAGCCGCGCCCTGGCTGAGCAGTGTTGCGAAACAAGAAGATCAGGTGCTTAGGGCTGGGGTCTAACTACCCTCTGAGGAAGTAGTTGTCAACCTAAGACTGGACAACATTTGAGAATTTCATCAAGGCTCAACTCTTCCCGGGAACTCAGGACAAACATTTGAAGGACCTACTGCCAGCTTCGATCATTGAGGTCTGCGTCTTCTGCACCGTGAAAAAGGCGTAGATGCCATTTCAGGAGGCCAGGAGTGCATCCCCGAAGCCAATACACGCTTGGACTTGACTCAAGACACCTTTAAACTTTAAGCTAGACAAAAGCTGATTATAGAAAGCCCAAATGCTCAGATGCCAAATGATTACTCTTGGTAGATGCTTACAGTTTGGTGCTCCATCTGCGGATCTCACTCTATGGCTCTATGCCATGTCTGTTTCTGAATTCTCCCACCATTGCGCTTGGTTTGATCAGAGGCTCCTGTTTTGGCTCCAATCACGAAAGTGGATGATGTTCAGAGTTCTGCGTCCTCTCGGCGCGCCGGTCATCACCGGACCCTGTTTGTCATGGGTCCACCGGTCATCTCCCTCTTCCCTCGACGTCTCCACCAGGACCACCACGTTTGTTTCAGGTTCTGAACCCGCCTGGTAGGGCGTGATGATCACCTGAACGCCCCCGGGGAAGTTATAGGAATTAGACTGCTGGCCAGCACTTGACATCTGATGACCATACCAGCCGGTCTCGGTGCCGTGGCTGTGGGAAACTCTGGTATCGTCGATCTGGCTGTGGGAGAGTGTGTGAGTGTGAGTGCTGTCAGTGCTCTGGCTGTAGAGCGAAGATTCCGGATTGATTTTGGAATGAGAAAGTGTCTGAGTGCCGAGGCTGGCAGATTTGTCGTCTTCCATTTGAGTGGTTCCAGTGTCAACTGAAGACTTTATGTTGTCGATCTGCGAATGTGAGAGTGTCTGGGTACTGGTGCCAACTGAAGACTTCTGCTCTCCCATCTGAGTACCTTGGGAGGCTGTCTGGGTGTCGGTGCCGATCTGAGCACCTTGGGATGCTGCCTGGGTGTTGGTGCCAAGTGAAGACTTCTGTTCCTCCGTCTGTGTACTATGGGACATTGTCTGCGCGCCAGTGACAACTGATGACTTCTGTTCTCCCATCTGAGTACCTTGGGAGGCTGTCTGGGTAGCGGTGCCAATCTGAGTACCTTGGGACGCTGTCTGGGTGTTGGTGCTAAGTGAAGACTTCTGCTCCTCCGTCTGTGTACTATGGGACATTGTCTGGGCGCCAGTGACAAGTGATGACTTCTGTTCTCCCGTAGCGGTGCCAATCTGAGTACCTTGGGAGGCTGTCTGGGTGTCGGTGCCAATCTGAGTACCTTGGGAGGCTGTCTGGGTGTCGGTGCCGATCTGAGCACCTTGGGAGGCTGCCTGGGTGTTGGTGCTAAGTGAAGACTTCTGCTCCTCCGTCTGTGTACTATGAGACATTGTCTGGGCGCCAGTGACAACTGATGACTTCTGTTCTCCCATCTGAGTACCTTGGGATGCTGTCTGGGTAGCGGTGCCAATCTGAGTACCTTGGGAGGCTGTCTGGGTGCCGGTGCCCAGCGAAGACTTGGCATTGTCAAGCTGACTATGCGAGAGTGTTTCACTCGTTGCACCATGGGCCGATTCACCCGATTCACTCTCGGAGGGCGTCGTTGCGACAAAGCTGCTTTCCTGCGGGAAGTCGGGGCAAAAAAAACAAAACATCTGGGCCGACCTGTTGGATTGGATGTATTGTGAAGGGAAAACCTGGAGAGCAAACAAGGCCTTCTTGGACAAAGAATCATGAAGACTTCCACAGGTGTAGGTGTGCGCTGTTGAATTGTAGGTGCGCTGCTTCCTCCTTGACTCAGGAGCTAGTGATGCAAACTCTTACCAAAGGTATATATTGGGTATGAAATGGTATGAACATGTTGCAAATTATCATATATAATATCGGGAATAGTTTTTTCTTTATGCTAACGGTTCTTTTTTTTATGCTGGATTTGGGTGGGTTCTTTTTTTATGCTAACGGTCTTTATTTTTATGCTGAGGGTTTTTATTTTTATGCTGATGGTTTTTATTTTTATGCTAACGAATGTAATTGTCGCGGGGCTTTATTGGAAAATGTAATTGTCGCGGGGCTTTAGCGGAGAATGTAATTGTCGCGGGGCTTAGTGAAGAATGTAATTGTCGCGGGGCTTTATTGGAAGGGCGGCGGCTCATCTGCGCACACACATTTTGTTAGCACTTGCGCCTCATCTGCGCACACAGATTTGACTCATGCGCGCACACAGTCCATCGGGGAGACTCAAGTGCGCACACAGGCCCTTTCCCGCATGTTTGCTCACTTGCAAGGGTCGTCAAGAGGGAATGGACACTTCCTCCTCTAAATTTTACCCCTCCTGTGGCTCACCAAAGGGTGAGTCAACTTGGAATGACCACTTCCTTCTCTAAATTTTACCCCTGCCTTGCCCACAAAAGGGTGAGTCGAGTTGAAATGGCAACATCCTTCTCTAAATTTTACCCTCGGGTGGCTCACCAAAGGGTGAGTCAACTTGGAATGACCACTTCCTTCTCTAAATTTTACCCTTGCCTTGCCCACAAAAGGGTGAGTCAAGTTGAAATGGCAACATCTTTCTCTAAATTTTACCCTCGGGTGGCTCACCACAGGGTGAGTCAACTTGGAAGAGCAACATCCTTCTCTAAATTTTACCCCTGCATGGCTCACAAAAGGGTGAGTCAAGTTGAAATGGCAACATCCTTCTCTAAATTTTCCCCCTGCATGGCCCACAAAAGGGTGAGTCAACTTGGCATGGCCACTTTCCTCTCTAAACTTTACCTCTGCATGGCCCACAAAAGGGTGAGTCAAGTCGGAGTGACCACTTCCTTCTCTAAACTTTACCCTGCCCACAAAAGGGTGAGTCAAGTTGAAATGGCAACATCC